GAAAGGTTTATTGTCTTGTTTGTATTTGCACAATGTGAATGAGGGGTTTATTGTCAAAATATATACAGGTGCTTGTATGCTTATTGAAACTATACAGAATTTCACCAAACTGTACGTTTTGACGACTCGTATACGATTGTAAGATTATATTTCAGGTATTCTCGAAATGAATCTCAGCACTGTGCTTTTTATAAATGTTATGGTTCTGTTAATAATTTTCTGGAGACTGTACAGCAAATCACAGATTTTCATTAGTTATTGTTCATAGTTTTCCTAATTTTCAGTTGTTATGATTGTGTACAGCTTTGCCCCACACACAATAAGACAGGATGATATGTACGGATATGTGTGAGTATGTTTCATGGATTAATAGGCCACTTCTTTGCTTCAATTCCAACTATATCTCTGGAAATGTCACTTCATGTTTATCATTCATATTTCGATATCCCACAATAGTAGTAATTCTAACGAACTACTATTTCGCAAAATTTGCCCAGCCTTGCTTCTACTCCCATATTTCCTTAACAGTGAAGGTTATATCAGGGGGGAAATCCTTCTCTATGGGGTTCTCCACACTTGCCAGGGGGGAATCTCGTCTCGTCTCTATATCTCGTCCTCTTGAGGTACGGGATCGGGGGAGTCACTTTAACTTTACAGTCAAATAAGACACACACAACGAAATACGTTTCAGCTCTCGTCTTAGTCGGTCAATCGAGCACTCTATAAGACACAGCGCCCTGGGGAAAAGTCCCCAAGACTATCGCAAGGCTGACCCAAGACTCTCTTAGACTGCGTCAACACTCGCCCCAAGGCTCTCCAGGACTGGACTCTCGACTGCGTCTATCGTAGAGTATTCGCCAAGACCAACTCAAACTCTCTTTATTCATTTTCAAAACTCTAACCAATTACAAAACAGTAAAAAGACTCTAGGGCGTAACCTTCAATCATAAAGCCAATACTGAATACGTCATATCTTTTGATTAATCGTTCACTACTTTAATAATTACGGATACCAACTGTCAGAAAGAGTAGTCAGAATAGCGACGGTTATCTCGTAATTAGTTCCAAATCACTGAGCCAAGTTCCGTCCAAAACTTCAAATAGGCCTAAACAATGACAGACATAACACAGCAATTCGTTAATAATCAGCGATTAACAGATACGCGAAAACTAATTCATGACAGTTAATGCAGATATATTGTAAATAACAAAGAGATAACACTACAATACATTTCCATTTACATTCTCTTGTATTACACAACAGTCTTTGTGCTGAGGCAGTTATGGTTCACAACCATCACCAGTTCTCTTGTTTATATATGTAAATATAAATGAGCCATTTAGTAACCCCGTGCAGTGTCCGGGTGAGTATTTAGTCTCTCCCGTGTTTAGTCTATAGCGATATTTGTTTTGTGTCTGGGCTTGATGGACTTACATGATGTTATGCACCCAGGGGTGGTACTCCAAGTCAGACCTGGTATTCATGCTGTATGGTTTTCAAAAAAAAGCCGCTAAACACAAACTTATTTTTGTGAAATTATACCCCTTTTCAAGTGCAGAAACTTAAAATTATACCTATATACATACTAAAATCACACTTTCCAAGTTGAGGTAACATGAATTCATGAGATTCCTTCTTTCACATTTTATATATATATTTACAATATTCGACCATCAACACGGTTCACGCGTATACGCGTCAAATAACTAAATAGCATACCTTTTACGTGTTATGGGTTATACGGAGGTTATGCAGGCTGCACAATGACGTTAAAATGAAGGATAAATATGTATAGTGAAGTATTTACACGACCTAATTGTCATAGCAATGCATCAAACACATTCAACACTGTGATTGATGCTGGCATATAGTAGTCGTGGCGGCGTAAGTTGGAGAAGGTCACGTCTTGATGATACATGTTCGTGTGCTCACATTAAGCAAAATGCGTTGCTAACAACTCTAAGATATACAAGGGGCAGTCGTTCTCCAATTTCCACCCGTCAATGCTACTACTGTTTCAATGATTTTTGCCACCGACACGAACAGCGGAGGAGGCGATTGCGGGAGAGAGTGGCATTTGAACGGAAAATACATATTTTAATATTGTTTTTTATATTCCATACCGTATACCGGTTGGACTATGATTTATTCTAAACAAAAAATGTTGCGTTTGCAGATCACTCAACAGTAACAAAAATCATAAAAACCAATACGCATGTGAAGTTATTGTTATTGTACGTATCAAAACAACCGGTGCACAGAGAATTTGGTTGTTTCTTCGGACGAATACTCAGATGTATGCTACAAGAATAACGTTTTTAGGTTATGATAAATAATTTACAGTATCAAACAACAATATTAAAAAATACATGTTCCCCTTCATATTGCATCTTTAAAGGGCGGCAGTCGTCGTGCCGCGTCCTGTTTGATATGGGACTCATAGCGACGTATACAACACGTGTAAAATACATTGTTTGTTTACATGAAATTCGAACACGCGCTGCGCGACGACCACCGCGCTTTAAGCACGATACATGTCATCGTTTGGGCTATATGTTTCCAGTTAGATCATAGACATTTAAGTTGATCATTGGTTTTAAATATAGTGTCACGTGTTTTCCGAATTAGAAACGGTCACAATAGCACGCACCTCCGACTTCCACCATGACAATTTTAGAATGCAAATTTATGAGAACAACGACGACACATTCAGAAAGTCAACGCTCATGCACACGGGTATTCACGCATAGCGTAATAAATGTTCTACACCCTTTATATTTAGATAATCTCCGATAATATCGGTTGAAATTCGATAATAAATCAGATGGTTTTCATTAGATCTAATACAGAATATTGTTACAACCATCTTCCAAGTCGCGTAATGCAGTTTTTCGCCGATAATATCGGTTGAAAATTGATAATATAAGGTTATTACGAGAATACCTCAAAGTATGCACGAAGACAGTACAGCTGGAGTATCGACCGATGCGCGGCGTACTGTCTGAGTGAATACTTTGATGTATTCTCGTAATAACCTTAATATTATACACCTTTTCCTTCTAAGTATACATCATGGGAATGCCGAAATCCAAAATGTTTAGAACAGAATCAGCGAACTTCTTTGTGTGGAGTCTGGCCAAACCCTGGCGGCAGCCATGTTTGTTTTTATTATTACGCTTACGCGCGTAATCATTCCATATTTAGAATTCGCATTTGCTTATATGGTAGGATAAAAATACCCCGTAAAATACCGCAAAATTACGACGCGCTGTAACTTATGCCGTTACGGTGAGCATTCAATTCTTTAAATAGGCATCATTTTAAAATATTTTTCCAATAATATATTTTGCCTACTTCCTGTGGTCTCTTATAGCTTCAACAGTTTTTCGTTCGTTCATTATTTAAGACCAGACATGATAAACAAACAATGTATAATAGCGAAAAACATCCCCTGTTGACTGAACTGATGCGAATGTATGTTGTACAAATAAGATATTATTCACTGGTGGCTGTCATAAGATAATGTAAACAGTTGCTAGACTGTTTATAAAGTTTGTTAAAATGTCTTGGTGACAAATACCACGTGGTATAACTTACCCAATCATCAGGTAAATGGTTATACACTGTTTTGCAGAGTTTGGCAGAAGTTAGTAGACATGTCGCGAATCTACGCCAGATTTCTCTGTTTGCTGATAATATTTTCTATTGGAAGTTATATTTCAGCACTCGTGGACGGAGAGGATGAATCTCAATGTTTGGTCCACAATTCGCCAGCATTAGACGCCAAATACTGCACTGATCAATTGAGAAGTTTTGAAACCCGACTGACAAGAATTCTTGACAAGATCGAAGAAAAAACAGAGAAATTCGATTTTCAACAAGGTACGTTGCACTTTGTATTCTGTATATATTGGAGTCGAAGCACTAAGACTAACAAATTATCAGCATGATACCTGATATATGGAAAGAAAATGTAACGACATCAATAGCATTATTTCGTACATGGTTTTTATCATGAAGCCTGTGATTGGCTCAATCTGATTAAAATCTGATGTAGTGTACGAGCTTTAATTATTTTGGCTATAAACTTATTTTAATTTTATTTTTATTACTTTTGTTATTAATGCCCTTTTATTTTATTTTGATTTTGTGATTTTTTTTTATTCCGCCCTACCTACATCTGATCCGACGCCTATGTAAGTCCTGTTCAAATCTCGCGTAAGTAACAGCCAATCACAGCCCCCCTTTTATACAGGCTGTCGGTTGCTTACTTTTCAGTGTAGCGACACTCTACGGGCAATCTTTCTGTACATCATATTTTGCCCACTTGAATAAACCATTAATAGAAAATTGCTAGTATATTTTTATTTGCAAAAGAAATTCTACAGCATTTTACAATTTTTGTCATTACATTGAATATTTTTTTCAC